ACAAGACGCTGTACAGCATCTTATACAAGCACTGTCAACGATCTAAAATGGTTTTTATACAGCTTTCTACGCGTTTATCAACTTACTCGTACGGAGCAATCATGCTGTGACAAATGGCGGGCTATGGGTGACTTGAGTGCAGTAAAACAAATCTGCTTGAAAATGACCAATATTAATCTGCATTCAGTTGAATTCACATCTGGTATTACTTGCAAAAAATGATGTCAAAATCATAAAAATTAATCACTCATTTTAAATTAATACACAATTTGAACATAAAACAAGATACGATGCCGCACACAACAAAGTTGTATGGAGGAATTGACTTCAAGCTTTATTTTTTTCCCAAATATTTGTAATTTATCCGACACATACTTGGTTTTTTTTGTTAATGCGAAGACAATATTTCTATATTTCTTTATGTGTTCCATTGAACGACTAATTATCAGAATGTGCTCACTAACTGATGTCAGAGAGGAGAGCAACCATGTAATTTCACTATAAATCAAATTCATGTAATTTGAATAATACTTATCCATGCCTGTACAACTGGTGTGTCCTACATTGATAGGAAATATATATTATTATTATAATATGCTTCTGAGGAAAGAGCAAAGTGCTCGGATGACTCTTATAGGTTAAATGCAAACCTAAAGTTTCCGGAAGACTGCGCAACGCCCAATCGTCTGGCTTCCAAACTGAAAAAAGTGTAAATGAATGAAACTGTGTCTGTAGGCTGCAGAATTTAGATTGCTTCCTGTGTGACGAGAAACTGACTGGCGTAACATCAGATCGCAACTTAGGTCTAGTTCCGACGGGAAACACAAGCATGAATTATACAGGTGATATAAAGGTCAAATATGGTTACACACTTCACGAATGGACACTTAGGTGCTCCAGATTCTGATACAGTTTTGAGGTTGTACATAACATAGGTAAGATCCCACCTTGCGATGCACAAAATTATCTCTCTCGTTACTCTAAAGAAACTCTGACTTTTTGTAAAGAGCTCAAAAGTGGGCGACAAGAGGAGTGATGGTCTCCTCAATGGACCGAATGATGAACTGTCTTTTCGCCCTTGGCTACCGTCTGCTTAGGGGGTACTTGACTAATACTTATACGATAAAAAATGACCAGAATCACCTAAGCAAAGGCATTTCACCACTAGGTGCGTATGGGTTTCCTCATGGGAATCTGCGAAGCATAGTGCACTAGAGAACAAAGATTCGAGTGCCCCCTATTTCTATCACCTGAGAGTTTGCTGCTCCTGAAACTCTCCAGCAACAGATCTGGTTACTGTACCATCCGTGTAAAGCTTTAAGCAGGGGCTGGAAAATCGTGCAGCGGCACAGAAACTGCGTTCAAACGGCCTACTGCTCAAAAACCACACTCATTTATAATAAGTATACACGTAAACGTGCCGTTTTATTGCTTCCCAGTCTCCCTTGTGTTACTTTCCTGACTGCTCTATCTATCAGTTCTCCATTATTACTATTGATGTAAGTATACATGTATAGATTTCCGTTTCTACCTAATAATTTATTATTACTACATAGTTTATTTTGGATATTTGTCTCCATGCTCTTTCATTAACATCCTAATTTTTAGTTTATTTCATGTGACACAACCTTTTTCGGTACTCACAAATCTTCACCACCCAATTACAGTTCGATTATTCATCACATTTTCGAATCACTTTGGTAGCGTCAACAATAACCCTAACTAATTTTTATTTATTTTGACAATCCTAATGTACACATTACAGTATTTATCTATAAATGTGCTTGTACAGCTAAGTGGATTATTATTGAAGCAAGGCCATGCGGTCCCGTGCTGGGAGGAGGAGGTCCAAGGCTTTTAACTGCTTGTTCTATTAACTGGTTGGTGAACACTGTGCTTCCGAAGAAAAAGCTAGTAAGGAGGCGGTTTCACCAGGAATGCGCGTTTCTAAACTGAAGTTTGCAAACCACTCACTGAATAGTTCACAGATAGTGGCAGGCTCATTGTAGATAACTTTGTCGTGAAGTAAATAGGGGATGTCCCTAGTCGACTGCATTCGTTTTTTAAGAAGTGTTGTTAAGTTAAAAACTTTGGAGGTGCTTTCAAGTGCCCTTAATTCTTCGTCGAGGTCCTTTTGAGAGCGTTGGCGCTTGATAGATTCAAGAGACTCATAGATTGAGTGCAGTAGTGATATATCCTTAGTGGAATAGTACGGTTTCTTCAACTTCCTTAACTTATTGCGGCATGCCCTAGGAATGTATTCAGCTTGGTGTCTACTTAATTTCACTACCTTCTTAGGAGCAACAGTATCTAGACAAAGGATAACATTCCTGTAAAATAGGGACTCTACAGCCTTCAGGGAGTCAATGGTAATATAGTCATCCCACTGACAGAGTCGAATGAGTTCTTGGACTAATCCCCAGTCTGTATGTTTGTAACTACGACATATCACGCTCCCTGAATCTTGTTTGTTTCCTGTATTTAATGTTGAGAAAGGTAGAGAGCAGAGTACCATTCTGTGGTCACTACTGGAAAATCTGTTACCAACATAGGTGGAGACTGGGATTGTGTCATGACAAAACACAAGGTCTAACATGTTGTCATCATGGGTAGGTGTGTGGACGCGTTGTTGTCATCCATAACAGTCGATAGTGGCAAGTAATTCGTCGAAGCGTTGGGGGCCGGAAATACTTAACCAGTTGACTTCTGTAAGATTGAAGTCTCCTGCAATTATTTTGTAATTTGTGCTGAACGGGGAGGCATGTGCACAAGACGGTTTCCTGCGTTTTTGGGTTAGCAGTCTATTTCATAGCCTAGACGTTCGCTCACTGGTAGCAGACTGGAGCAAGACGATGACAAACTATTTTACTGCTGTGAAATCAACTTGCTCTGTTGAGTTATAATTTTTGGATAAATAAATCTTCAACCTACCGTCTGCCTTTATTAACTCTATGGCTGAAATCTGGTTGGTTATGATATACACGAAATAGTATTCTGAGTTTCGGAGCGTCGTCTTTTCGATACATCAAAATTTCCTCACACCGTTATTCAGCGCTTATGTAATCGCCTTGCCCAGTCGGACTGGCTTCATTTTCTCTCAAAGTGACAATCTCTGTTTCTGGTTTCAAAGATTATATTTAGCAGGATTCTATAGCGATACAATGGAAAGCACAGATGTTTGTTATGTTGACATTAACTTGTAAAATTTTTCTGTCTAAACTAGGCAACTGTGGACTTGATGATAAGACTGCTGTATAAATAATTTTACTATATTGGTTGGTAGCTATTTGAGAAATATATATTTTGCGTTCCGTGTTGTATGTTATCATTAAGAGCCTTAAAATTCAGTTGGTTATTAAGTAGCTAACAACTCTTCTGTGGTCTCGATAGGCATCTGACAACAGTAAACATTCTGGGTAGAGTTTTGAAGGATTGTGACCCGATCAACTAAGATTTTTGTGATATCTGTAGCCCCGAAGGTTTACCGAGAAGATAGGCCAATTTTTTATCAAAAGACACTTTTCTGTCCGTAATTTTCTAGTGATCATTGCATTCCATTGAAACGGCTATTAAAGTAGGCCACTTTGTGAACCATTTGACTTAATTGACTGCGCCTAATTAACAAGGACTCAAAACTGAAAATCAGATATACTCAGAAGTCAATTTTGGATTCCACCTTACATAATGGCAAACATCTATTATATTCAGAATGCTTTACGAGTACCAACATTTATTAATCATATCAGTAACCACAATAATTTGCTTCTGGCCAAGCTAAAAATTAATGTTTAGTTTTTTGACACTCAGAAGAAATACTTCTACTAAACTCACATTGCCTAATGTGGAACTTCATAAAAATTTCCCAGTTGTCCTACACCTGTGGTGTTCCCTGGAGTATTCAAAATGTATACAAGCAAATCTGCCTACGTTTGAGGCTAAAACAAAACAAATTAACTGAGTTTTCACCGGCAGTGGTTCGTGAAAGTAAATTTAGATTGCAATCAACAAACATTCGAATAAAATGACATGGAAATAGATATTCGGCAATGAGCATTAGTGTCGTTGTTAAGCCATAAAGAGGAATATTCTGTGGTGCTGTCGTTCAGCGCATTAGAGTAATTTACCCTTTTGTTAAGGATTGAAACAGTTTTAAGAAACATTGCTTCCGCTTCATCAAACTACTTTCGGTCTTCTGATGACGCTAAGTGGTCTTGAAATCGCAAGAGACTGAATCCATGGGTTTCTCAGTGTTAAAGAACGGCAAGCAGGAGTTAATGGGGTCCTGTCACCATGCTGATAGATGAAAAGTGGCATTCCTCCAGTAACAATTTTATGTGCGTCGGTGGCACAGTGGTTAGGACTCTCGCCGACCATGCACATGGTTCGGGGCTCGATCCTCTGACGATGCACACCTGGTATCTATGGTCGGCCTACAAAATTTGGGCTACCGATATCACATACTGAAAATTCCATACCTGTACCATAACATACGGTGTGGAATCAAGCTGAAATCAAAAAATTGTCTTATTCCCTTTCCACCATATTTAAATGAGGTTCCGTTGACAAATAGTACACCTCGTCTTATGATACTTAACTCTTGCGATATCTATACGGTGATAGTGATGAACTTCCTCTGTGAGGACTCGATATATTGGTTGGGTAGTGTGGCCATTGATCACTACAATGGATTTGAAATTACAACCGCTCTCCACGACACCACTGTAAGCTCTGATGTCGGTATATTAAGCATACTATATCCAGCTTATGTCACGCCGGCGTTTCCATCTTCCGAGCATGAAGTAGACATTTTGAAGTGACTTCATAGTGTGGGGAACAAATCGACCAGGGAACTCTCGAACTTCTGACTTAAGCATATTTTGGATGAACTAGATTTATCTCCATATCGGCGGTTGACTGCCGACCTTATGTCATCATTCCGCATATTTCTGATGGTTTTAGTTTTGAACTATCCTTATAGATCATTGAAACATCAAGGTCTACTATCCCTAATAACCCGAAATGTGGATAAGTCAGACTGAACTTTGGTTACGACTATTCGTTACCTGCGCGGTAATCAAATTGGTGTCGTTACAGTATGGACATCACAATGAATAACCCCAAACCTTTTCTCAGTGGGATAACTGGGAAGCAAGTTATTGTTAAACTCAAATGGGGGATGGAGTATAGGGGGTATCTTGTCTCTGTGGATCGATATATGAACTTACAGCTTCACAGCACGGATGAATATATTGACAACTGCCATACCGGCAGTTTGGGCGAGGTGTTGATACGGTGTAACAACGTATTATATATCCGGGAGTGTGACGATGACCGTTCAGATGCTATGTAACACACTAACTATTCATCAAATGTAAAAATGTTTTATATACGTTCCTCAATAAAAAACATCGAATTTCTTGTGGTTTTCTCAATTCGCTATTGCTACGTGCTCTTTACAAGGATATCCCTGTGTGTTCTGTGGCGGTGAGAATCCTGTGCTTAGGGATAACTTCGGAGAGGCGAGAATTCTAAGTTCCTGGCGTAAGTGTATCATTTTGCTGACAACAAACACTGAAGCCGAAATCTCAGCTCTTGGTACTGGATTTTCGAGTTAAGTTAATGACCGTTCGTACATTCTACGCTCTTAGGAGCAGCATGAATTCATTGCCATGAATAACAGAGTTTCGGTTAGAGGCAGGTTATACCATGAAGTCACTGATGGATAGTTCTGAAATAGCAGGTATAGTCCTAATTCACTCTGTGTTCGTATAGTATTTTGCACACACTCGTATAGTGTTGTGTTAGCAGCGTGAGTACTATAAAGTTAGATGTCGTTGTAGACTGAGAGGGATTTGTTTGCTTCAGACTTCGTATAGAAAACCTCTTACCCTTAGATGCCGAAATCGGGGACTTTCGTATTGGGGACCCTGAGAGTGTGTTTGTCTGAAATAGCTCAAGTTCAAACTGAACCTGTTAAGCGAATATTGTGTGAAGGCCATCCTGTCCTCCAAAGCCTATCTGGAGGAACGTATCTGTTAGTCTTGTTTCGAAAGAATACCATTACCACTTAGTCTATCGAACAGTACAACCACCCCTATCCGCTAACATATTGTGCATCCATTTTAGTGTTAATGTATGACCTTAGCCCTACCAATGCTGTAAAAATAGCTGCACGCTTAGCTTGCAGTTTCTCCTGCTTGTCAAAGTTGATTAGGGACTCGAATATAATTTCGTGACAACAAAATTCACTAAACGATCATTCTTGAACTTTCCCTGGAGCTACGCCCTATAGAGCTTTCTGCGGACCTATGTCTTGCCTATTTTAGATTATTCGGTTAGTACATCAAGGCGTTCTCTGCACGTAACATTTTGCATGAATGTAGGCTAAACACCATTCTGATGGCTTCATGTAAGTTTATAAAGCATAGCTTTTAGGGAATTAGGAATATCTAACTCTTAGAAGAATGTGACTACTACAGTAAGGAGACGGTTTTTGATGAAAGGCGTAAGCACGGTAAAAATCTAATTTACTCAGATGTTCCAATACGTAGAGAAGAAACAATTACTTTTCGAGTGCTGAAATCTGGGTTGTTTCGACACTTAAATAACTAGATCGACAGTTTATGGCAGGTAAATGGTATTGGGAAATAGGATATTTCCAATGACTGTTCCTAACCGGGATGTTAGATCACTTGTGAACCAAGGGTATCCCAAATATCTTGTTGTTTATGTGAGTATAAGTCGACTTATTTAGCAATTATTTCCTACATCTTGAAAAGAACAAGAATATACCTAAGTGGGTGGGATTTGAAGCAGTACAACGGGTCGATAGCTACTCATTCCTTAAAAGGAATCAGTTTGAGATCTGTTTATGTGAGTGTTGGCCTCACTTTACCTCCAAATACACAGATATCATAACTATTTGTATCTGGGAGCGACTCCACTTCTTTTAAATGAGTATAACGACTTAACTTGTTTTTACAAGGAATTTACCTTATTGTTGTGTTCATGCTCCAATTAATCCAGCTCTGTGACTGTGAAACAATTGTTGTAGGCGAAAATAGTAGGAGTTCCTTTGTATTTTTTACAAGCATGTGACAGTATCTCGACTACATCAAGCATTCTGAAACACGTCAATCTGAATAGTGCTGCTTTCCAAAAACACTCGTAATCACGCATTCTACGTCAGAAAAATGCTCGGAATTGCTTTAGGACGACTCAGTAACCAAAAACAATTCGAGTAATTCCTACATCCTGGTGAAGGCATTTAATGGCGCTTGGAGTTCTGACCAAAACTTAAGTATCTGAGTCAGATTTAGGAGGTTAACTGATGAGACGGTTTGATTTGATGGCGCAAATAAATCTGTTGTGAACATACAAAATGTGGTTATCAGTGACTTTGAGATATAAACAGATTCAGAACAAAATATTCAGAGCGAACAATTGTTTTCAATAAATTCTTCAGGCTCATCAATTATAAATCCATTAATTTAAGCATACAATAGCCAGTAAAGGCAAATTAGAATCATATCAGAAAGTGTATTGTGGAACGAGTATAAGATGGGATGGAACAATAGTCAGATAGTTTTTTAATATGCATGGTCAATGAGAACATGGGACAAAATCAGATGAAGTAATTTAATTTAATGATATGTGTATATATATAAATATAGTCAACAGAAATACAGGTTTTGAGAGTGTGTGTAATCAGGGTGTGTGAGACAATATGAAAATAAACCAACGAATGGAGCGGACTAGACATAAGTTCAAGGTTGAAAATAACGACAGTATGAATGATTGTAAAGTATAAACGATGATATGGGGTAAAATTACAAGCACTTTTGGTGAATGATTGTCAAATAATAATAATGAAGTGGAATGAACAGGATTTTGTAAATACGATGGCAAGTTAGAAAAGCACTACCTAAACCTAAGTTTAATAAAATCATAAGAAAGGTCATGAAATCATAAAAGTCGAAAATGAACGATTGTCAATGAAAGAGAGGAATAGAAGAAGAAGAAAAGAAAATTGTGAAAGGAATTTATAGTGTTAATGGAGGATTTGTTGGCTTTATTGTAGGCCAAGGTAAACATAATGGTTGAACATACTTCTTTTGTATGCAAAGAGATGGTCTTCTGGTATTAACTGCCACCGTTCCAGCTACTGATAGAAGACGCAGTCGAGCTCCTCCATATAAATTACTAGGAACGCGGTAAATAACTGAGAACGCCTGGTCAAGTTTTTTCTGGTGTCCGTATCTACCAAGTGGGCTCAGACTGCACTATTTACACATTTGGTTACTCATTTACTCAACCATACAGGTACATGTTTACGCGCACGCATGGATAAAGCCCTCTGAGTACGGCCAATGTAACTAGCTCCATATGAGCAGTTGAATTCATAGATGCATATTGATGAGGCCATCTTTGTTAATTTATCCTTTACTTGCTGTGAGTACTGGTTTAGTTGAGTACCAGTTTAGCTGCAGGAAATGTTCTATCTACAGCTCTATTAAGTCGACTTTTCAGAATGTCAGCTGCAATTTCCCCTTTGTAACTTAAGATACAAAGGTTTCTTTTCTACGGTATCCACCTTTACCTTGTCTGTAGGTATTGACATATACTTTTTTTTAGGAAGCTCTGTGGATATCCATTTTCTTGTAGTGTGAGTTTCAGTTTATGCGTTTCTTCCTTAATGCATTCCTCTGAACATATACGTTTTATTCTATAGCTTAGACACTTAACTAAGTTTCTTTTGTACTGAATCGGTGAGAAGCTATGGAAATGCGTGTACTGACCCTTCCAAGTTTTCTTTCTAAATAGTTTCCTTTGTAGATATCCGTCTGTCTTCATGGTAAGGAGGACGTCTAGGAAAGGTAAACTGTTATTGTCTTCTTCTTCACATGTAAACTGAATAGTTGGGTGAACACTATTAACAGCATTTAGAAGCTCTTGTTTATTAAGATTTATATCACAAACGATAAAGGTATCATTTACGTATCGACAATAATAGTCAAACCCTTTAATAGTGTCTTGCCAGGAAAATATCCGCTAGCATAGGGCCCAGAGGTGATCCCATGGCTACACCATCAAATTGTCTATAAAAACCATTATTGAACATAAACTGAACATTCATAGTGCATTTCAATAATAATTCTTTGACTTTTTCGGATGGAATTCCTACATCTATCTTTCTTTCTATCAGCTGGTCACATATGTATCTGACTGTTTCAAGCAGTGGGACGTTGGTGAATAATGATGCTACATCCAGTGACATCATTTTCTTTCCCTTTACATTCAGGCTTTTGGTAGTTTCCACAAAGCTAAATACGTCTTTTACACTGAATTTGACTAATTCGCGATGTAACGGCTCTAGTGCCTTTACCAACTGCTTTGCTGTAGAATGATAAGGCGACTAACACATATCTAAGATGGGACGTAGTGGTACTCCCGGCTTGTGGACTTTCGGTAAACCATAAAGTCTTGGTGTGTGCGTACCTGAGGGTTTCAATTCGTCGAGTGTATCCTTAGGAATCAGATTACTCTCAACTAATGATTTTAGTGTCTTAGCCATTTGGCGTTCGGTTGCCTCAGTTGTGTCTTTACAGCTGCTCAGCTTTTGAAATTTCGTATGGTCGCTTAGAATGATATTCATTTGTTGGCATGAAATGAATGTATCTAACAAAATTATGCTGTCCTTCGACATTGAGTCACTTTTCACCAATGTCCCACTCACGGAAACGGTCTGCTTCATATGCAAATATATTGATGACAACCATCTCAATATTGGAATACCAACAACATATTTGAAGGAATTACTATTGAGATGCACTCTGACCGTCCAGTTCACATTCAACGACACCATCTACAGATAAAAAGATGGTATTGCAATGGGATCTCCGTTGGGTCCACTACTATCAGATTGCTTCGTCGCAAGCCTCGAGAAAGGTCCACTAAAGCCAAGCATTGACAATTTGCGACTGTACAAAAGATATGTAGACGACATATTCATTATTTGTGACCACAACAATGACCCCAATCTACTGCTGAAGACATTTAACTGTTGCCATCCAGCAATAAAATTCACTCTTGAAATGGAAAACGAGTCCAAAATTCCGTTTCTTGATGTGGAACTAACAAGAAGAACTGATGGGAGCCTAAGAAGATCGATCCATAGAAAACCTACTTGGAATGGTCAAATAACAAACTTCTATAGCTAGGTACCCATTCAACAAAAGCGAAATTTAATTAAATTACTTGCCACCCGCATCCGACGCCTCTGCAGTCCCGACGCTCTGGAAACAGAATTAGATATTCTAAGAGAAATTTTCATCCAAAATGGATACCCAATGAGATTCATCGACAAAAATATCAAACCAAGAATTCGGAGAAACGAAACTCTACTTGCGCCAAAAA